GCCCGTCTCGTGCTCTGGAATCCACACAGGTCCAGTTGGAAGTGACACAGGCAGGAGCCCGAGGATGTTTATCTTCACCACGTTAGTCAATGCCGTGAAGGCGCACAGGATGACTTCTCAGGGAACTAGAGTCACCTCTCAATCAGGACACCGCGTTAAACAAGTCTGTGAATTAACCAGCATGAAGAAACTAGAGAGGATTGGGCCTGAAGATCTTCGTGCAGGGGCTCTCGGACGAGGACCAACGACATCTGACCAAAGTGCCGCAATGGTCAGGTCTGCTTGGGCACGTTGTAGTACGTCTTGACAGTCTTCTGAAGATCCAGCTTATTAACAGACCCTTTAATGTAAAATTAAAACCAGAATCCTGAAATGCGTCGGAGAACAGCTGCGAAGGACTCTGGAAGCTCACGCCTAAGCATGAACAGTCTTCCAAGCGTAATGAAAAGCCTCCAGCCAGGAGGGAAGAAAATCGGTGAATGGGACCATCTATGAATCAAATCCCTTTGCACATCAAAATACTTCTCCAACAGGGTAAGATGGAAACCCACAGACTGGGGAAAAAATACTTGGCAATGACTTATCTGATAAAGGACATGTCTAAAATTTACAGAACACTCCAGCACCTCAACAAGGAAGAGTTAAACAATCCAATCACAAAATGGGCACAGGATATGAACAGACACTTCACCAAAGATGACATTTAGATGACAAGCAAACACATGAAGAAATGTTCAAAATCTCCAGCTCTCAGAGAGATGCAAATCAAAATAACTATGAGGTATCATTTCACCACAATAACAACAGCGAAGTCCAGCAGGGCAGCAAACAACAAATGCTGGTGAGGTTGTGGAGAGATTAGAACCTTTATTTACTGCTGGTGGGAGTGTAAAATGGTACAACCACTATGGAAGGCGGTATGGTGCTGTCTCAAAAAGTTGGAAATAGAAATACCATTTGACCCAGCAGTTCCACTACCCCAAAGAAACCAGAGCCACAACTCAAACAGATGTATGCGCACCCATGTTTATTTGCTGCATTATTCTTAATAACAGAGATGGACGCAAACAGGTGAATCAACAGGCAAAGGGATAGAAAAACTATGGCAAATTCACACAGTAGAACACTACACAGCATTGAAAAACAATGAACTCATACACAATATGGGTGATCCTGGAGGACTTAATGCTGAGTGAAATATCTCAGTCAAAAAGGACAAATACTGCATAACATCGCTGTTATAAAAGAGAACAGACATGGAGGGATTGAGGAAAGGATGGAAAAGAGGGATAATGAACATTTCATTAGATCGCCTGAGAACTTCTGGAAAGAAAGATATGATGAGGAATTACCTGTATGACAGCAATCTGAAACAGGGGTCATGGCAGGGAGGACTGCTGGGGTGGGCAAGGGGTCTGAGGAAGAAAATGAACAACGATAAAAAAAAATTAAAATGAAACTTTGTTTTTTTAAAGGCCCTTTAGCTCTCTCTTCCCTAGAGATAGCAAGAGTTGAGCTAAAAACCCCATAATGAAACAAGGCCATGGGTGCTACCATTCAACTCTCAGAACCCTGATCTGACTCCTGGATGGTGTTTCTGCCTCCCAGCATCATTGCTCTTTTGCATGAACTCCTGTGACGACAGTGGTTGGCCACTTCTGCAGACCCCGTAAGGGTAGGATGTTGGTTTCTGTTCATTGGGGTGGGGTGGTACCTACTGTGTTGACTGCTGACTTGACAGTGGGCAGTTTGAACCCCCCAGTCACCTCTCAGGAGAAGAATGGGCAGTGTCCTCTCATGAAGATGTCTGGCCTCAGGAACCTGGCGGAGTATCGCTGTGGGGTGGAACGGGCATGGTGGCATTAGCTGTGTGACATGAGATCAGCAGAGAGGACAAAAAGCTTAACTCACTTTAAAAAGGAACCTCAGGTATCTGCTTCTCCCATGGTCGACAGCAACGCAGTAGATACTCTGAAACCAGTTTGTCTGTCCCCCCATCTGTGAGAACCCAGGGGCAGCTGTCCAACGTCCGGGGGCATCTGAACCAGGAGGCTCGCCGTACCACCCGTGGTGGGTGTCCAGCACACGACTGCCAACTTCCCTCACAGGAAGTCCTGTGAATGTGACTTTGTTGGTCTGGATTCATCTATTTCATTTACAAAATGGAAGACAAACTTGTAAAAATAAAGTCACGCATTGACGTCAGTCGTTGCCATAGCCTCCTCTCCCAATCACATTGATTATTTATCACGCAGCTGAAGGGTGACTGCCCCGTGGACTCCATGGAGCAATGGACTGCATAGCAGTGAAACACCTTCGAAAGGTGAGGAAGGCCAGCGGCTGCCACTTGTTGACAGCGAAGTGCTGTGGTGAATCGAAGCGGCCGCTGATGTTTGGACAAGCCTGGCGGCCTAGGCCGTAATGTGTCCAGCTGCTAACAGAAAAGTCAGTGGTTTGAGTCCACAAGCCACAGCACAGGAGAAGGCTGCTCAGTCTCTTTCTGTAATGACGTGTACACTCCCAAGTCTGGTGGAGGGTCACTGTGAATCAGCATGGACTCGAAGGCAGGGGTTTTATTGTTTTCCTTCTTTTCCCATGAAGCCCAGGGTTCCTGACAGACAAGCTGGCGTGGCTGAAGGAGCACGTGGGGTCCTGGGAGCAGGACGATACTCACTGACATCACAGCAGCATCAGCACTCCTTGCTGGAAACAAGCAATTTTACAGGAAGAGTGCCGGGGAAATGCTAAAGTGTAGAGTCGGTACAGCTCAACCACGGGCACTGGGGCCGTTTTACATGGCCACCTTTCAGAGGCACTTGCTGCTTCTTGTCAGAAGCCGACTGTGGGGATGGCCCTTGCTGAGGTCAGCCTGGCCAGCACCCAGCCGATCCGGTGTGTCTGTGGTCCAGGCAGCAGGCAGAGCAATGATTAGGCAAACACAAAAGCAGCGTGTTTCTAGTGGAGAGGAGAGCTGTTGCCCAGCAGGGCAGTGAGGTGGCCCTGAGGATCCCCTCAGGAGGAGAGGCCACAGGGGGCCTGGGTGCTCAGGAGGGGGAGGAGGGGCGAGGAGGGAGGAGGAGGAGGGGGGAGAAGGGGAAAAGAGAGAGGGAAGAGGGGAGAAGGAGGAGGGGGAGCAGAGTAGAGGGGGGCAGGAAGGGAAAAGGCCATCCCTGCCTGCCCTGAGGAGGTCACAGGTCCGTACGTGAACAAGCGTACCTGGGAGTGCCCAGTCCCACTGGTGGGAAGCAGGAGGGCCTGTGTAGGCCCTGGAACGAGCCTGGGTTGCTGGATCCCTGGCTGTCCTGAGGTGAGCCCCTTAAGGGAACTGATAGGCTGGAGTTCCTCAGTGCAGCACAGGCCCAGATAGGAAGGAGCTGGGTGTGGAGGTCCATGGGGAGTCTGGAGGTTTGGGGTGTGTGCTCTTCAGGACACTGTGGGAGGCCATCTAATTCTGTGGCAAGAGGGGGGAAGCAGTGAGAAAGGAGCCCCCTCAGTGCACTGGATGAGCCCCTAGGGGGACAAACCAGAAACAGGAAGGGTGGGGACAAGGCGTCTTGGGTGGTCTGGAGAGGAGGAGACCCCAGGGGACAGCACCCCGGAGAGGAGGAGCAGTGCTGCAGGCAGACCTGACCGACAGGTCCCCACAACCACTCCTCCTGCTGCAGGCAGTGCCACCATGAGGAGCAGCAGGAGGCCTGGTTTGGAAGGAAGCAGGGTTCGGGGGATCTTGGCCTTGGTCCCCAGTCTCTTCTCAGGATGAACAGGAAGCCTTGAGCCCAAGGGGCAGGCGAGTGGTCAGCGCTGAGTATTGCACCCCAGCCTCGAGAGGGAGTGGGGAGCCTGTGGGGTTGTATCCCCCTGCGGGGTGGCCATACCATCAGAGGAGAGGAGGCTCTGGGGCACAGGGCTGTGGGCAGCAGGCGGGCGATGTGCTGGTCACAATGCCATGTTCCTGTGCATTGACCTCTGATCCAGAACGTGCAGAGGACGCTGCCTTATGAGGGCTGGTGCTGTGAAAACCTGCGTTATTTCCAATCAGCTGCACCGACCCCATCCCTGGTCACTGTGGTACTGAAACCCATGGCCTGGGCCTTCCCAGCACCTGCTGGCCGGGACCATCCCCACCCTGCCCTCTAGGGTGAAGGACAGGCGTATCCCTTCTCTGCTAGTCAGTGCAGGTTCCAACCGCCAGCCTGCCTTCCTGATGGGCTCACATCCCATGAACATAAAACCCCAGGCCCATCTGCTCCTGCCTTCCTGTCCAAGAGTCCCTGGAAGGGCAGCAGACACAGCCGTGGCGCCTGGCCCTGCCTTGGACCTCGTCCCAGCCCAAGATGTGCCCCTAAATCAGCTCAGATGTTCACGCTCGCCTTCCATCTCTTTTTACTGCTGGATAAAGGGTCCGACTCTCTCTTGGGGTTGGCCTGATTTGCCAGTATTTAATGTCTGCAGACGGCTGAGATGTAAGTTACAGCACAACAAGCAAGCTGACTCGCTGGCGTGTGGCTATGTAATAACCATGATTACAGTTGGAAATAAAAACGAGTAGTTCATCATGGCAGGCTGGGACAGTACGGCACGTCTTGAGTGGCTTTACCATCTCTGACAAGTTTCATGTCCAGAACAGTCACTCTGATCGTCGTTAAGCTGCTTCAACTCTCTGGGCTGTTTTCACCCCCCATTCTGCCTGTTTAACATCTTCAATTCTTACATCCCAATCTGTCTTGGATGAATTGCAGCCAGGGTACTGTTTAGAGGTAAGGATGTGGCATTCCATCTCACATACTTTGTCAGGTCAGGAGCCACCAGTTCCTGGCAAAAGGCATTGTACTTGGCAGACAGAGGGTCAGAGGCAGAGAGGACGACCCTCCTTGAGACAGACTTGCACGTGACTGGAATCTTGGGTTTGGCATGCTGGGGCTGAGAGGACAGCTCCGGCTTGAGTGTGGTTGTGGATGTTAGTCCACTGTTGGGCAGTGTGCAGAGACTGGGCGAGCACCATGGCGATTCCTCTTGGTCACGACTCTGGTGACGACATCCCGGCACTCAGACAGTTTGGGGTCTGGGTCTGGATGGTTCTTGTTTACCTGGGTTGGTTCTGCAGATGTTGTTGGAGGCCTGTAGTCTCGAGCACCTGGTAGATCTGCATTAAACCAGTCCATGAACGCTTGGCCCGTGGAGCCGCCGGTCTAGTAGAGGGAGGCCAGCAGGCAGTGACGGGTGACTGAAGTGGGCAGGATGTGAGCAGAGCTGCGAGGGGACCCACACAGCGTGTGGTCAGGAGACAGGGCAGCCGCGTGGCGTTCTGAGAGGTGGGCCAGCTCATGTGACAGGAGGCATGTGATCAGGGTCCCCTGGCAATGAGGAGCCGTAGGAGCGAGAAGGGCTGGGAGGGCGGTGAGGAGGGCGGGAGACCTCTAGAGCACCTGAATTCACCAAGAGGTCAGAGGTGGACACAGCAGAGACCACGTCCCCACCAGCAACAGGGCCTGCAGCCACGAGCTCGTCCCTGGTTGATTTTGCTGATGGTTGATGTTGGGTGTCCTTTAGTCAGTGTCCACTCACAGAGACCCAGTGATGCCCGAGGTGCCTGGGGCCTGTGCTGTTCCAGGGTGAGGTGGTCTCCCGAGACAGAGATGTCGTGGTGGATCCTGACACTCGATGGTGGGGAACGAGAACGCCAGGCAGGCAGCAGAAGCCGTGTGTCACTGCAGGGCGGGTGGGAGGCCTGGGGCGTGGGCGGCAGAGGCCTCTGGTCCTGGGGCAGGTGGTCCTCAGATGGGACAGTCACTTTCACCTGCCCCCAGTTTCCATGCAGGGACACTTCCCTTGTGACATGCGTGTGTCTTAGTCCTTTACCTTTGGACAGATGAGGTTTCTCTGGCCTTGGCCTGCTCTCCAGTCCCAGAGGTCCTCACTCTCTGTCCCTGTAATATGTGAAGACCAGAGAGTCCCAGGAGGTGCCGCTGAGCAAGACACGTCCCCTCTCAGCCTGGGTCTGCTTTCGCTGCTAACACAGCAGGCCTGCCGTGAGAGCTGTGTCTGTTTTGTCCCAGCTGGTGAAGAGCAGAGGTGCTTGCACACATCTGTGATTTGGTGTGTTTGGCATCGTTGGGTTGGCTAATGTCTGAGCATCTGCTGAATGCTGTACCCGCGATTTTACAAGGCCTCAGACTCTGTCTTAACGCTTACCAGTCCTGATTGGAGACATTGATCAAGTTCTCTCTCTTCATTTCAGAAAAATGCGACGAGCCCCTGGTCTCGGGGCTCCCCCACGCGGCTTTCAGCAGCTCCTCCCTCCTGTCCAGCAGTTATTCCCCCGGCTACGCCAGGATCAACAAGCGTGGGGGTAAGTGGTGGCTTCTGTCTTCTCTGCTGACCAGTCTGTGTAGGGGACGAGGACAGCCAGGGCTCATCTGGCAGCTGGGACACTGCTAAGATGTTAAGCCAGTTGAAGTGAAGTTTAGACAGACCAGGAATAAAGGCCTGGTCATCCACTCTTGAAAATCAGCTAGCATAACCCCTGGCCTCCACAGAGACATGGGGGACGCAGGACAGGGCGTGTTTAATTCTCTTGGGTAGGGGTCACTGCACTCAGGGACTGGTGACAGGTGACAGCACAGACTTTGACAGTGACATTTCAAATCTGCATTTTATTATGTAACTGTTAGTAGGCTCCTGAAATGCCCCCATCTTTCTGTGCACTACTGAGGTACAAATAAAGAGAACTTGAGAAGGAAGTGAGAGAAGGGAAGTGGAGAAGAGGCTGTGGGGCCACATGGAGCAAGGAATTCAAAGGACACAAAGACACTGCGTGGCTGAGAGGCTTCAGTCCTGAAACGCAAGTGGAGGGAACTGGTTGTCGGGAAGTCACTCAGAGAGCCCTTGAAGAGTGGGCCCCAGGTGTGCCGTGTGTGAAGAACTGTTTACAGTCAGGGTTTGCCTCTTTTAATTGTTCAAACTGGCTTTGTGCTGAGAGTGCAGGACGAGGCAGCAGAGGTCTCCTGAAATTTCTCCCGCAGCCCAGACTTAGCTTTGCAGCTAAGAACTGAGAACCAACGAGACTCTGCCCAGGGCTGGCGCTCCAGACTTTGAAATCATGGCCTCATTAGTAAATAAATGGAGATTGAAAAGTCAACAGCAGTTCACAGAGAGTAGAGAACACAAGTCATGTCGGAAACTTAAAATAACTCATGCTTCAGAGGAATGCAGACACAAATAGCAAAGAATGGAAGCTTAAATAGAGAAGGAACAAGAAATAGTAAATCCTGTAACTTCCTCTCAAACCACAGTCCACGTGGACGAGGCAGCATGGATGATAAAGACACAGGAAACAAGTGCCTTCCAGGAAGGAGTAGCCATAAACACAAAGATTAATCTAACCACAGGGCTGGGGGAACTGTAAACAAGAAAGAAAAACTACACCAGCAAAGAGATATGGCGGGAAAAAATACAGAAGACAGACAGACATTAGACATTGAATATAGGATGTGTAGAAACCCACAGAAGTCTGAAATGGCTTTAAGCAGGAAAATGTCTCGGTGAAAAACAGGCAGAGAACGACAGACTTAAAGTGTGGCTCTGCCGTGAGAGTAGATCTGAGTGCTGTTGGGTCATTGCACCATCGCCAGCTCGTGAAGGCCTCACACCACACAGTGAACCCAAGTCCTGCCCGGCCCTGCGCCATCGGCACAGCCTCTGCTGGGCTTAGCCCACTGCCAGTCTCTCTGCCCGTCCATCTCATCCATGGCCCTCCTCTCTTCTAGTGACTCTGTTTTCTAAGCGTGATGTCCTTTGTGAGTCGAAGGCTCACCATCCTCACCTCTCAGGTATTTCTTTCAGTGGGGATTAGTTTGGCCCTTTGACGTCCCAGAGTTCTGATTAGTGCAGACTTCATACTGACCAGGTGGTGGTCTGAGCGCATGGTCTGTTATGAGAAGCTACCTGTAATTCTGTTTAAAGGTGGCAAAGTGGAAGAACAGTTTGCCCATACAATGTCATTGGCAATAAACAAAACCATGACTACAGCTAGAAAGACGTGAGACTTGAAGATGTTAGAACACAGGACAGTAATCCCACCCCAGGCCTCTTCAGAAGATGACAGGAGGAGAAGCAGTAGTGGACTATGGTCACAAGAGTGACCAAGAGGGCAGGGATATTCCTACAGGGAGGGCTAGGCTCCAGGAAGCTCCAGATAACCGTGCAGAGCGGGTCCAGGAACTGTGGAGGTCCTCCATCAAGAACGTGGGAAACGTTAGACCAGGGGTACAGACCCCGTGGGTGTGGGGTGTGTCTCACTCCGAGCCTCCGTGGGAACTCAAGGCTCTGGGAATATAGCTTTCATGTGCACCAGGAAGCCAAAATGCTGTGTGATTCTTTGCTGTGACATTGTTGATGTAATGTTTTGGAGTGACATCATACGTGGGAGAAAGCTCTATTTCTAGGCCGCCTACAGACTTACACTCCACACTGGTTCATTTTCTCAGTGCTCGCTCCGGGGAAACCTGCAGTGTCTTTCATTGAGACAGTCTGAGCTCCCAGGGGCCCCTTCAGCCTGCAGTGGCTCCTGTCCCTGCTTTCTATGGCCCATGTGACTCTTCCCTGATTGCACACCGTCAGCCTCGTTTATTGAGCTCTGGTGACTTAGTGACCAGGAGCTGTGCTGCCAACCCGAAGGTGCACAGTTCAAGTCCACCTGCTGCTGCATTGGAGAAAGGTGGATGGTTTCCCCATGAAGTTTACAGCCTCAGAAAATCCACTGGAGGGTCAGCCAAGAGTCCATTCTCAGTTGACGGAACCTAAGAACAAAGTGGCATTTACAGTGTGAGCTCACTGTGCCCCTCCAGCTCCCCACTACTCTCATTTCTTCCTCTCATCCCAATACTTTTAACTACTTTAAAAAGAAAGAAATATCTAAATACTCATGTTGAGAATTCTAAAGAATAATTTACTATTTTTAACAAAAAAATTAAAAAATAAACAATAAAAAACAAAACAAAACATACTTTAGATTATTTCTCCTAAATCTTTTAAACCAAGTTCTTTGATTCAGCTTTTCTGCAGAATTTGAGTTGTCTTCTGAGTTTATCTTAATTTAAAAAATTCTTCCTCCTAAACATAAGTGTTACCCATGGTGGACAGTGTTTGCTGGAGTTTCCCAATTAAAACAAGCTTGGAAGTAGGAGCGGCTTCCACTTCTGAAATGGCTTGCCTCCGGAAACTCTGTGAACAGAGCTCAGGCCTTTCGTTCATAGGGTCGCTGTGAGTCGTCTACAACTCGACGGCACCTAACAACAAAAACAAACATAAGTAAAACTTTTCACTGTGCCAGGACTTTTTAAAAGAGGTGAAATGAGCCAGTGATGTGGGAACACACGGAGCGTGGCCGTATGTGAAGGAGGTGACCAGGCAGAACAGTGGTCGTATGTGCTGTGTGGAGGTGACCGCCTGGCGGGGCGTGGCCGTGTGTGGAGGAGGTGACCGGGCACTGCATGTGGAGGAGGTGACCAGGCAGAACAGTGGCCGTATGTGCTGTGTGGAGGTGGTGACCAGGTGTGGCCGTGTGTGGAGGAGGTGGCCGGGTGGGGCGTGTCTGCCAGGCAGGGGTTGGTTTCCTTAATCGGACATGCCTGTTTAATTTGCAGATCTGAACGCGTGTTTCTGCCTTGGCAGCCGTCTCCATTACGCTGGCTTTTAATCCCACTTTTCTAGAAAGCTGTGTCTGTGGCATTTTTCCTAGAACGTTGTTGTCGCGGTGTGGAGTGTTGGCGTGTGCTACACACTCTCACGCACACCCCTGCACTGTCAGAGCTGGCTGAGAAGATGCCGTGTGTCAGGGTGCTTCTGTTGGCACCCCAACATCCCAACACCCCCCTTTCAGGCATCATCTCTGGGGACAGGCACAGCACCCTCACGTCGGTGAGACGCTGTGACAGACATGTCCACATGACACACGTCAGCCGGGGTCCTTCCGAGTGTTGGGAAGTCCCTGCGGTCTTGGGCGTTTAGGGTACATTTCTGCATCTGGATTTGACAGCTCTCGGATGGTGTGGCCTGGAGGTTGGCTTCAGCAGGTGGGCTAACTGGAGGCTTTGGTGCTGCTGGGGTCATGGGCGTTTGAGCTGGGCACCTACCCTTGCCGCTCCACCGCGCTGGCCTGTAGATGGCCCTGTTTTGGCTTTGTGAGGCCGTGGACGGATGAGGAAGGTTGCCTCTCCTCACTCAGAGCCGCCCTGGAAGGACCACCCTTGGTGAGAGCACAACTCTGTACACTCTGCCCAGAGCTCCCTTGAAAGGAATAACGTTCCAGCTAATTCCTTTAGGTCAGCGCTGTTTGCAGATTTCTAAGCGACCTGTGAATGTCTTCAAATCTGCTCCTGAGAGCAAACCTGGCCCAGTGCTGTAGTCTTCAGTGAGCTTCACTGCTGGCCCAGAGGCTGTGCGTCTGCTGCCGTCCACGTCCACCAGCAGCTTCAGGGCGGATGGACAGGCATCCTCCTCCCGCCTTGGAAGCCCCCGTGGAGGGCGGATCAGCCGGGTGTCAGAGTTCCCCCCTGGTGGCACCTTCAGGCTGAGAGCTGTCCGATCCGTGTCTGTGACCCACTGATGCTGTGTGCCATCATCGGTTCCCACCTTAGCGACCCCACAGCCTGGGGAGACCTGCCCCCCGGGCTTTCCAAAGCTGTGTCTCTAAGGAGGAGGCTGCGGTGGCCACTAGTGGATCTGAACCACTAGCCTTTTGATTAGTGGCCTAAGCGCGTCGCCCCTGCACCACCAGGCTCTGTGAAGTGGCCTTTCCAGGCTGTCCTGTTCCACAGTGTGAAGAGCTGACCGCCTGGAAGGCTGGCACCTGTGCGTATCCTCCAGCGGACGGACCTCACTGTGAGCACAATACGGAAGGCTGCGCTGATTGTCCCCCTCCCTGCGACATGCAGGATGTGTGGTTGTTATTACGCGCCGTCCAGCGTGACTCATAGTGACCCTGTCAACGGCAGATCGGAACCCTGTCCTGTCCTGCGCCGTCCTCATCGTCTGACACCCTTGAGTCTATTGCTGCAGTCACCGTGTCAGTTCACCCGGCAGAGGGTCCTCCTCTGTGTCACTGCCCCTTCACCTTGCCAAGCGTGTTGTCCTCTCTCCAAGGAGCAGCCTCTTCAGCAGCGTGTTCAGGTGTGAGAGAGGAAGCCTCACTGCTCTCGCCTGTAAGGAGCCCTCTGGCCGCACTTTCTCTAGGACACATATCGGTCCTTTTGGCAGCCCGTGGGACACTCAGCTCTTCTCCAACACTGCAGCTCAGAGACGTTGATTCTTCTGTCATAGTGACTTCAATTTGGAACGAGAACGTGACTC